AAACTTCCATTTAAAAAAATTCTGAGAGATTTCTAAAGCCATGTTTGGTTTTTGAATTTGCTTTTTCCTTCTCAAGTTTGTTCTCATTGTTGTTAACTCTGGGAAGCACAATGTCCTAAGTGTTATTTTTTTTCCTCAGTATAACTTTGATAATTAGGAGGAAGAAAAATCTGGTGCTAAAAATTGGCAGCAGTGCCTCATTTGTTATTGTTTTGCATGAAGTATGGAAAAAACATCCTCTTCACCAAGATTTCCTAGGGCTGTATACACTGGAAAGTGATAAACTGTCTGAACAGACCCATGGATTATTAGGTATGACTTCATTTGGTGTTTTCATGCTTGTGTTTCCTTCTGAGGCTACGTAATTACCAGGCGCAATCTTGTACTTAGCCTTTCTGAATGGAGAGGGTGGAGGAAGCTGAGATGACATTGACTGCCCGTATTAAGATTTCTGACAAAATATTCTGGCCTCAGACGTTATGCGTTAACTTCCCTTAAATTCTCCTGCTGCTGAGATCAGTAGCGTTTGTTGCTCTCACTGGTATCTTTAAACCTCTTTGTCTTGCTAAATCCCACCTCCTTTTTTTTTTTTTCTTACTACACTATTTTCCCATCCACTTGGATGGTTTGATCTCCCCCTTCATCTTAAATACCTTTCTCCCAAGTACAAGTACTCTGAAAAAATAAATGTGTTTGCTTGCTCAAAATTTGCCAAACCTCAGCTAGAGCATCCTTGTAAGAAAAGAATTCTTTAAGATGTATCTTGATTTACTAGCACATATTAAAATCACAGGATGCATTGCATTGTCTTAAGATTGTTCCTTGTGGTAGCTAACACTCTTTATTCCAGTAGAAGGCAAAGTTGGTAATTCAGGGATAAAAATTTTGATCCACTGAATCCTGTTTTCTGCCAGTGCAGTGGGTTTGAATGGGGCATGTTCTCTGGTGGAAGACACAGAGATAGCAGCCATTTTCCTTTGTCTTCCAATTTTTACTTAAAAAAAAATCAGGTAAGGGCAGCAAACCCTCATTTTCTGTCATTTTGTGTCATACTTGGAGAGTATTTAACAAATACAACTGAATAGACAAGACACAAAGTGAGGATATCTAGAAAAGGCTAATTCTACGGTGCACTCAGAAGTTGGAACTTATTTTCAGGTGATATGCATAGAATTCTAGTTCATAAAAAGAAAAAACCATAGGCATCTGTTCAACCTTATGCAAAACTTAGTGTTTGCTTACCTGTTCAAAACCCGAGGGGCCGTGGAAAAAGCATGAGAATGTAGAAATTCTGGGGTTTCTGTTTTGTTTGTTTCCATTTTGATGTGTGCAGCATGCCTGAAATGGTGATTTTGTCTTCTACTTTTAGGACAGTTTTTCCACCCCATTGACTTCACCATACTTGAGATTCATCCTGGGTCTGATCCCAAGAAACCAGATGCCACAATGATTGTTAAAAACAATGAACTGACAGTAACAAGGTAAAAAATAATCAAGTCATTAGCAAAGGCTTAGGAAAGATTACCTTTGTCAAAGGGCAGCTTCCGCTTCGGTACTTCCGTGACTGTGTTTTCCCTTTCAGGGGCTGGCAGAAGGATTACGGACGAGATCCGAAGCACGGCGTTGATGTTCCTTGCTGGTTTGTTCATAACAATGGAGCTGGGCTGATAGATGGTGTTCATACGGACTACATTGTTTCCAGTCTCTTTTAAACTACTACAGCTTCCTCCAAATTCATGGGTACACACAGTATTTGTGTGAAAGAGTAGTGTTTTTCAGTGTTTAACTATTAAAAATAGATAAGCTTACCATGTTTGGCAATGCCAAGATGCAACAGATTCTGACAGAGGGTTTTACTGCATATTTGATCAAATCTTCCATGCAAAACAGCTGTTCTGCTTGTATGCAGATATCACCCATCCCCTCAAGTATCCTCATTTTAATGAACTAATTTACTGGGTTTAAAATTCAGACTTGAAATGTTACTTTGTAAAACATAACAGAAACATTCTATTCAATTTTAATCAATAACTGAGTGTCAGGAGTAATTTAAATAAAAGCATTGGTTCTTATTGCCCTGTTCTGTTATTCCAATGGCTGTCAGTGTTTTCACTGCAGTTTCACAACGTCCGGGATGCCAGATGCATTTTGACATTCAGCACGAGAGGAGAGCTGACAGACCAGCCCAGATTTCAGGATCATGCTGTAATACTTAAACCTGTCTGACCACTTGACTGAATGGTGCTGAGGGCTGGTGCAGCGCCATCACACAGGATGACTGTTGCATCCAGGACTTCAGTATCTCCATTTGAACTCAATTGTTTTGAATGGCCATATCTTTATAAATTAATGCAATACCACAGTTCCAAACAGCACTCAGATTTAAGTAATAGTAGCTAACTTTTGGACAATATATTTTTGTGTGTGTAAGAGCCTGAAGATCTTCCAGTAAAAATCCTCCCTTTGTTCCCATAACAGAATTTGTATATGTATTTCAGGGCAAGAAGCATCCCATTTATTTATATATTCATTTTATACTGGAAAAAAAATGGTAAGCTCTTAGTTGTAAAGCAAAAAATAGGCAGATTTGTTATTTGAGTTTTCTTTTAATCAAATCAACCACAGCAAGGCAACTGTGGTCTCACATGGCAAAGTAGAAAATTTCCCAACTATTACATGACAGAAAAGTGAGCATGTGAGAAATTAGAATGCAGCCTAGGGAACCCCCACTTATACCAGTGGAGGAGAAAAATACCCTTTTTAATACTTAGTTAGACAAAAACTTTACTCCTACCACTGATGGGTACCACGCCTGTTGAAAGAGAAAAGTGTAAGTTACACCGTGTATTCTGTATCGGAATTAGGAATTATAAAATGCAAAATACTCTCTGCTGTGTCTCTCCAGCTTCTTGAGCAAGGGAAGGGAGCGTAGGAAGCCAGAAGCCCATCAAAACTCACTTCAGGGCTTGGAAAGGAGGAGAGTGACCAAACAACAAATTAAGACACAATTCAAGTGAAAAAAAGCAAAATGGAGCGTACTTACGGAACGGAAAGCACACGAGCAGAAGGGCAGAAGCGCTGTGGGAAGGATTTGGGAGTCTGCAGCCAGGCACATCAGTGGTGTCAGGCTGCTCGGAGCAGACAGACGTCCCTGTGGGTACAGCCAGGGGCTGCCAAGGTCCCCTGTGCAGCTCTGGCCACCCCAACACAGTGCAGGCAACTTGCGTGTCGTCGAGAGGGTAGGAGCAGCTTTGCAGAGAAGATGTAGAAAGAGAGGAGGAAAACTGGGTATGCTGTGAGAAAGGCTCCTGCCTGGTTTTGTTCCCATCTGTCCAAGTTAGCAGGATCTGCTGCTTTGCAGCAGGGGAGTTGCATGATCGGAGCAGCAGGCTGCCTGTGGCGCTTAGAGAACTGCAGGCAGCACAGGTTTTAGCAGAGGGATTAGAAGAGCGGCTCTAAAGAAAGGTCTGTGCAGAGTTGAGCCTCGCTTAAAGCCGAAGGAACGAGGTGAAGGATTTGCTCTCCAGCTGTGCCCCACTGCTCCCTGGCTTCAGTGCTAGCTGCTACCCCTGCAGTCGGCACGCAGCTGGAGGAGGCAACTGAAAGCAGGAAATTTTTAATTTGCAGTAAGTGCACCTTTAAAACCCAGAATCAACAGTGTGCAATTCAAAGAGCAAGTTCCTGAAATAATTGAGATACTCTGCTTTTCAGTTTGGGAAGCCTGTTTATGACGTGGTGAAGCAAGCAATCCGGTGTTTCCCTTTTCCAAATTCCACATTGTCTGTCATGTCCTTTGTCCAGCCAAACCTGCATCTCCAAAACTGCATCTTGGAAGTACAAGCAATTAATGCAAACACATCTTGACATCACATCTACACAGTTCTTTTTAAAAAACAAGATCCTAATTATGTAGTTTGCTTTATCTTACAGATTTTGACAAAAAAAATTCTTCTGTTTTAGTACACTGCTTTAAAATAATATGGATTTTCAGATGTATATTATTGGCAGGATAGAAAGCAACTTTCGTTACACCTTCTACAATGCTAGCATATTTATGGATTCAGAGATACATAGGAGCTGAAATTCTAAAACACAAAGAAATTTGGGAATTAGAATTCGTTTAAAAACCCCCTGAAAACTAAAACCACAACTTGCATTCCAGAGGCAGAGTATTCTGCAATTTCCTTTAAAATATTAACTCTGTGCAAACATGTTGTTTGATTTGTTCATTATTTGTAAAATATTTTCCAATGTTTGCAAAATGTTGCCAAAACCAAAAGGACGCCAAAAAAAAGCTGCTAACTTTCAGGGTTGAAACCTGTCTTTTGCAAGAGTCAGAGTTCTGGTTTGCAACAAGCCAAATCTGTTTTGCAGACGTTTTTAAAACAGAGCATAAGAAGTTTTGCAACAATGCCCAGGACTGCAGGTGCCATCCCCACTGCTGCTCCTACTGCCAAGTTCATCGTCTTTGAACTTCCTTACAGAACCGTCTCCGAAAGAACAGCAAGGCTGTGGGGTTTTTCCTCCATAAAATAAAACATGAGAGAAAAACTAATATTGCCTTTAAACGTCATACTCTTTCCAAAAAATGTAGTTCAAGAACACTGGCATAGCTGGATAAAAGACAGAAATTTGAGAAATCTATTAGTGTTTGTGTGACACAGTTGTTGGACTGGGTGATGCCACTGCTTATTTTTATTGAGAGACCTAAGTCTGTGTGTGCCCATAAACTGTGAGCTGATACCGTCAGTTTTATTTAGTTCATTCACGTAAATCTTCAACAACATAATCACATTGAGTATTAGAAACCATTTTAAAAAAATGAAAAACAAGCAAGCATGTTCTCATCTTGAAAGTGTAATTATTTTGAGTTAAAAATATTTGTGACATTTATTTATAGCAAGAGGTAAGGCTTTAACCTGGTTGTTTTCTTCATGAAAGTGTCAGAAATATTTGGAAAATCGTCATTTGCACAGTTTTCTTTCCCGGAATACTGTTTCCTAGGGAGTTAGATTTATTGACCAGCAGGAAACAGGATCACTGGTTGCCTCAAGCCTGTAATCTTTCTTGTATTGCCTGAAACAAAATCGAAATGAGAAATTGTGATAAAATAACCAAGAATCAGACCCAGAATCAACCTGATGATCGCAGAGGGTGCCAGGAGTCAGAGGGCCTGTGCGTGGGCAGAGCTGGCACCCCTCTGCTCCCTGAGCCAGCGGTGATGGGGACGCACAGGGACAGCGAGCAGAAGCTGCACGCTCACAGCACTTCTGCCACACCACAAACACTTACTAAAGGAAATTCAAGTGTCAAAATAATTTCTCATGTCAAATTCAACTGAGAAAAATCCTGCCCTTATGCATGTAAATGAGGCAGCAAAACTTTATTTGGCATTTTTTTATGCAAATCATAGCCCCGGGGTACGATTTTTCCTTGCCTGTGAAAAAAGAGCCTAGAGCCCTGTGGCATCACTTAACAAGCAACAAATCCAGGCTGTTAGGGAAAAACTCAAGCACAAGTTCTTATTATTTACACTAAAAGAGGTATGTTCTTGCAGACAAACACTCCTTTAGTTTAATTTCTTTTGATCTCAGTTATTAGCTAATAAAACACATCTCGAAGTGTGGACATCACACCCTTATCCCCCATCTATTACCTGATAGCTCTGTGCTCAGATCCAGACACCCTTAGGAGTCTTTCGTCAGTTCTCTCATTGACGGTGGAGTTTTTCTCAAATTGTGCTTTTAAATAAAATTGACCTAAGCAAGAAACATGCAAATTATTTAAAAATATAGAACAACTGAGTGTGTTGTTCACTTAACCCAAATGGCACCTCTAGCACTAGGAAGGCAGCCATCTGCCTCGGAAAGTGGACAGAAGAGACCACATCTGGAAGCTCCCGAAGTAAGTTAATAAAATTCCTGTCTTTCAGCTGTGATCTCCTGTTATCCCTAACACTCCTCCACAGAGAGATTCAGCCTTGCTTTCATGGTTTTTTTGCCTTTTCTTTTTTCTTTTTTGGTAGTTTTAGAACATGCAGCCTCTCTGTTTACAAAGTTTTTGAAATAACTTCAGCTTTAGTCCCACGAGGATCTTTGGAGTCGAGATGTTCAAGACCAGCTGGTTTTCATTTTGTAACTCTGATTGTTCACAATTTTATGTCCCTTATTTATAGTCCATTACTTGACATCAAATGAATTTGCTGCATATATTATATCATTACAGACTACATCATTACGCACTGTTGAGGTTAAGCCCAACTCTTATTTTAGTTTTATTTTAGTGTTTTCTAAGCCTTTAGTAGTCTATTTAGAGTTGTACCATTGGTGAGCAGAGAAGCATTATATGTTACATTCCTGGGGTAAGACCTCCCCTCTTGCAGAGCAGGATCTGGGTTGCCATGCAGTAAAAAGTAATGTTAGATGTCTGAAATTAATAAATTAAATGAAAAATTCCTCTAGAACTCCCTGAATTACAACATTCCT